GCAAGATAAGCTAGAAGAAGAAGAAGAAGAAGAAGAAGAAGAAGAAGGAGAAAGAAATTGAACCAATGGAAACTTTGCATAATACATGAAATAATGATGGAATGCAGCTAATTTCTAAGAGGAATCAAATGCAAATTTCATTTTTATAATAAATTTACAAAAAAAAAAATTCTTTATTTTTTTCATTTTTACAAAATTCTAATTTATTTTTGTGAAATTTTTGGAGTTTTATAAAAAAAATCTTTAAATTGAAATTTTGTTTAAATTTTCATAATAAAAGCAGAAAAAAAAAAAGAAAGTAAGAAGGAATTATGAAAAGATAAAAAGGAAGGGAATAAAATTAATTTTTTTTTTTATCTGCGTCCCATCATAACTTTAGTAATAAAATTTACAACAGCTGTAGCAGGTTGTTCAGGTTCTAATTCTGCAAATATATGACATGTATTATCCGTTCTTGAACCAATCTTACGTGCGACAAAAGCAAACATTCGAGCATTTTTAACATATTTTGTCATACTACCTTCCAAGTATGAATTATCCCACCTGTAAAAAATTAATTATTTTTATTAATTATGCAAACGACAAAAGAAAAAAAAAAACATTAAACAATCCAAATATGAATTATTCCATTCCACAGTATGAATTATTCCAAAAATAATTATTCTAATAATTATACAAATGGCAAAAAGAAAAAATTAATTTAAAGAAATTGGAAAAGTTCATAATATTTCATAATTTTTTTTTCTTGAGAAAAAAAATTTTAATTAAATTATGTTAAATTATGAGCATTACCAAAAGCAGTCATTTATTGATGAAAACAAATTAAATGCTTAAATTTTAAAAATTCGTATGATTTCAATTTGTGATAATGCATTCACAAAAATCATTGATAAGATAATTTAATTAATGCACTTTTATGCAAATCAAAATTACCATAATAATAAAGTAATATGGTAAATTTATGATATTAAATTCAAATTTCATACCTTCGATCAGAAGGATCCAAACCGGCATATGTAACGGATTGTACAGGATAATGCCGCCTAAAGAAAAGTCGCCTTGTGTTATCTGTTATTGTGACACCTTGAGATGATACCTATAATAATACAAAATGTAATTTATGAATACAAAATTACAGAAAATCAATAATTCCCGAAACATGGGATTAATAATAATAATAATTAATAATGACCATAATAATAATAATAATAATAGTAATAATAATAATAATAATAATAATAATAATAATAATAATAATAATAATAATAATAATAATAATAATAATAA